GCCTGAACAATTTGTGCATTTTTTTACAGTACTAGTGCAGTCTTCCGTCACATGAGACCTCTCGCTACAGTGAGCACACGTCACTGGATGTGTACAGGTGTTAACACCATGACCATATTTTTGGCATCGAAAACACCTCAATGGATTTGGGATGTAGACTGCAACTGTGATACTACAGTAACCAACTTTAACAGACTGAGGCAGACTTGGAGTTGAGAATGAAAATAGGTATGTGTTTGTCGGAATTAGTTCGTTGTTTTTGCGGGTGGTAAATCGTTTGACATATGTCACACCCTGATCTTTCATTTCCGATACAATGTCCAGTTCTGACATGTCAGCTAGCAAACGGTCTCTGTCTCTTATAATGCCTTTGCATGTGTTCAAGGTTCTATGGGGAGTGACTGAAACAGGGATGCCAGCAAAAGTTTGCATTGTCAATAGGTTCGATGCCTGCTGTTTTCGACTGCACTCAATCAGTAGAGAGCCTGAACGTAAGCGTTTGATGTTCTTAACATCGCCTGCAATGCCATATATCCCCTTAGAAATTATAAAAGGGTTCAACTTGAGTGGAGTCTTGTCAACAGTGTCAAGAACAAGGAAACGTGGCCAATTTTCCGTAAGTGTGGATTCATTCTCTTCATTGTCATTGTCTAGTTGTCGTTTGGTCTTTTCGAGGGAGTTTGGTAAGCCATGTTGAGTTAGTAATTGTTTCATCATCCGAGCTCCCCACCCACCACCACGGAGTATCATGAAGACAGTGCTAATTACAAGTGGGTCTCCGACTTGCAGCACCAGGGATACCCGGATGACATACTCAAGCAGAACAAATGAAAAATCAATTATTTTACCAGATTGGCCCATGAGCCACCGCCTTCTGGCACCAGCATCTAGGCAAAATTTCACAAATTTGAAAATCCATATATATCACAGAGAAGATACACAAAACAAAACATGTCAATATTGTGTCCAAATAAAACCAAGCCAAATAATGTTAGAGCAATGAAATTTAGTGCTCAGGGCTCGGCATGACCAGCCGATTGGTTGAACCGGGCCCATTCAACCACCCGTCTAGGTGAAGTAAGGGGCGAAGTGGTGTGTTGGGCAAAGGAACACTGTTCCTGGAACCAGTGCCCTCAACCACCAGACTCCCGTCCTCCACCGACACAGGGGCGCAACCCACGGCAAACGGGTTGGTGGACCAAAATATCCCCCCCCGGGTCCACAACGGGGGGGTTGAAAGGCGCTTAGCGTGACCCAGCACCCACCACGAGGAGGTGGCCTTTCATGGGTGCCTTTCACCAAATGAAATAACTCGCACGTGCTTTGTACCCGTGTTACCCCGTATGTCTCCATTACGTCAGCAAATGCCATACCTTGCACGTTTGGTTTGTATAAACCCGTATGTCTCCATTACGTTGATACTGGTATAAAATGCACGTGATTTTGTGCGCCAAAACCTGTATGTCTCCATTACTTGAACCACGTGTGGTGAGAGGACAGTCGTAAGGATGGACATCGATAGCCCAGATGATGATGACACGTTTTTGACTCAGTCAACATACACAATGCAATAGTTGGATATATCTTCAGATGAAACTGCTCAAAGTTATTGTTGGTGACGTTTTGGAGGGTTTTGGTGACAAAATCACTCAGATGACGAGTTAGTGGCATCTTACATGTATAGTCGCTGAGAAGCAACCAACGTATAAACTGACGGAGGGAACGCGTCGGAGACATCGGTTACCCACAGTTACAGTCGTTTTCACGAGCCGGTTCCTGAGAACATACTGTTCTACAAACCAAGTTCTACAAACCAAAAAGTAAACACGTACACGTTCATTTCGGATGTTTACTTTAATATGATAATTCTAGGACCATTTCTGGTGTCCCTCGTCGTGATGTTGCTGGAATATTGCTAAAAGCGGCGTAAAACCAAACTCACTCACTCACTAATTCTAGGATTTCTTTGAAAAGTATTAAAAGTAACGCTCACGGTACGTGATTTGTTTTGTATGCTTTCTCCGAACATTTATAAAGTGATTGTTAGAATAATTATTACCTTAAATCTTACTCGTCTCTTAGAGATTTTCAGAAAGATTCAGAGATGTTACAACGACATGTCCAGATTCGTTTTGTTAATTCTGTTAGCGATTGTGTTTAAAATTTATGACCGTTCTCAGTTTACTGTCTGTCGTCAGTTTCGAACACCTTTAAGTATCTAAAGTTGAAGTCTAGTGTATAGTAGTTTATGATATCATATACTCTATATCTTATCATTTGACTTTTGACCTTTCAGGTTTGCCGACAGCACAGTATCAAAAATGAAATAGGCGACAACTTTAAATCTTGGCAAAGTAACAGAAACAAACTAGCAGCGGATACTTCCAGGAACCTAAGCTTCATTATGGTACCACTGGAGGAAATGAGTGTTGACGAACGTTTCCAGATTTGTCTGTGAGGTGAAGAAGACGGACGGCACTGATTTCACGTTATATGGACTTGTGATCTGCCTCCTATTACAACATTGGCAAAGCCTACAAGTTCCTAACTGATGACGCCCTTTTGTAAATAAAGAACACCCTTGATAACATGATGAACCGTCGCGCTAACGATCCACTCAGAAAGCCACCGGTTCAAGCCGAAGTGATCAAATCAGAGGAAGAGGAAGTTTTATGGGCAAAAGGAGTTCTTGGGAGTGATAACCCTAAGCACTTATTGGATACTATCTTCTACGTGGTGGGGACTAATTTCGCCCTCAGGGGTGGCCAGGAATACCGGAAGTCAAAAGGACTTCTCAGTTTTCGTTATCGTCTGATCAACACGAACGTCTGATCTATACTGAAGACGTCTTATCTAAGTCCAATCAGGGGGGCCTTAAGCATCGGAAGTGTAAAGCAAAATCTGTGAGGGCCTATGAGAACGTTGACAAGTCAGAAAGGTGTTTGGTTGAACTCTTTGAAAACTATATTTAACCCATAGACCACCCATCAGTGACCCCTTCTATTTGCGACCATTACGAAAACCAATGGGCGACGTATGGTACAGCAGTCAAGCAGTTGGCCGCCACAGTCTAGCTGCAATGGTGTCTGACATTTGCCAAAGAGCTGGATTGACCGGACACAGGACCAACCACTCACTACGCGCCACAGCCGCCACTCGTTTGTTTGAGGCTGGTGTTGACAAGCAATTGATATGCGAGGTAACTGGGCACCGGTCTTGAAAGCGCAGTGAGGAGCTATAAGCGTTCCATCTCGGCTCAAAAAAGGAAGTTGCAAGGTCAAGCTTCAGTTCTTGGGTCAGTGAGGTCTACTACGTGCTCTTATACCAACATACATGTAAATAAGTGTGACGACTGTAAAAAAACCCAAACCATTTCTGTTAGCGTGAATGTCAACAAACTAATTACTGGGACAAAATAAAAAAACCGATCAACTGTAAAGATGTGTTTGTTCCACTTTGGTAATGAAAAATATCTGATGTTAGTAATTCTCCATTACTGAAAGGTAATGCACACATCTGCAATGACCAAACAGAGCAGGCGTATTATAATTAGGTATATAGAGGAGCTACCTCTTGTCTGTCATCTCACATGTTATAACACGTTACAATAAGACCAGCACTTGTGTGGACAGCATTCCTACCCTGGATACTCAGGCTGTTTAAGGAAACTTGACAGTTGTTGCAGTGAGATGAATACTACCATCTCTGTCTTTATTGGCATAATCAACGTATTACAAGTAGAATACTGCCTTGAATTGGCTCAACAACAGTGACTGTAATACATTTCTCGTGACATAAGCGACCAATTTGATTTCCATGAACCATACGACATCTGTGTTGCAAGGATATATGTTAAAGCAACTCGTGCTTGTCGTAAGGGGCGACTAACGGGATTGGGTAGTCAGGCTCACTGACATAGTTGACAAAACTGCGTATCCCAATTGCGTAGGTCGATGCTCATGCTGTTGATCACTGGATTGTCTGGTCCAGACTCGATTATTTACAGACGGCCGCCATACAGCTGGAATATTGCTGGAGTGCGGCGTAAAACTAAACTCACTCACTCACTCCTTTAGGTGATTTATTGAAGGATCTGAAACAATACAAGACTAATATGATATGTTTTAAAGAAAATACATGTTTAATGAATAGCCCTTATTTCATCAATATTCAGAAAGGATGAGTCAATAACTGTGATGTTCATGTGACTGCTTGATACGTACTTTTATCAACTGCCTGCAGTATATTATATACATTAGCGTTAACGACATTACATGACAGCTGATACCTCCTGTGTCCCGGCCACCCTGATGTGATGCACTGAGTGTTGGGAACTGACCATATCGATATTTTCCAAAACCCTGATTGCCATGGGAGCACAGTGTCAATACTGGTCTGAAGTTACTGAGACAGGCGGTCTCATAGCGCTGTCAACATCATTCCACTCTTTCGGTATGTGAGGTGAATGAATACAACTAGTTTTCATCATTGATTCATACAGTGAAAGTAGGATCTTGTATAACTATAAGTGGCAGAATCATTTCAATATTATCAACAGTAAGACATCTGTGTTGAAAGGATATATCTTGAAGAAGCTTGAATTTAGGAGAAATGTTTTTGACTCAGGAACATCCACAAGCATACCTTATATTTCCATATGTGATAATGCAACAAAACCAAAGACGGGAAGGATAACAATATATGGATGAACGTCTTTATTACAGTGAGAACGACGTTTCGGAGCAGGTTCTAACACCGTCATCCAGCAAGTGATGAGCCTACATCGACACGGCGCTCTCGCTGTAACACATGGTTGTTCATCTATTTATTGTTATAATTCCTTACTGCTCCAACTTCTAAATGCCTCCAACAGAAGAAAACCATAAACGTCAGAAATAGCAGAGAGATGCCCCTTGCTGGATTATTGCTACAAGCACTGCAGTCACTTAATCACACCCCCAATATAGCATTGTGTCATGAATGAGGAGAAACATCTATGATATCTGTGGACATGAGCCTCTTTATTTTCTACTTCGGACAGCAGACCGCGAACCGGTCAGCGGGGTCGATGTTACAGAAACTCTGTTCCGGGCAGTCCACATGGTTGGGACCACGCCCACAGAACAGGTTGTCCCCATTGTTGTCAACCTCTGGCGTTCCGTTATCGGGACACAGCTCAAGGCCTGAAACATGGACAAATCAGGACGAGATATTGAGGTGTCTTCATCTCACCATGTGCAGACCAGACTTATATTTGACACGAAGATGAAAGATTCGGGCTATCAGCATAGAATGAATAACTTAACACATTTAAATGCAGACAATACAGACTTTTCATAAATCAACGATCATTTGTTATAGTATCATGTTTTTAGGTGTCCTTCAGTCCAGTTACGATCAATAATCTCTCATTTAGTCGTGATACAGTCGAACTTCACCCCCTGAGGGACTTTCTGTGAAAACACCACACACACACACACACACACACAAACACACACACACACACACACACACACACACCACCACCACCACCACACCACACACACACACACACACCACAACAAAAAACACACACACACACACACCACAACAAACACACACACACACCACAACAAAAACACACACACACCACAACAAACACACACACACACCACCACCACCACCACCCAACACACACACACACACCACACACACACACACACACACCCACACCACCACCACCACACCACCACACACACACACCACAACACACACACACACACACACACACACACACACACACACATATATATATATATATATGTACCAGTAAAAATTCTGTAAACAAAGCTGACCTTTCTTTTTTGCATCTGTGCTCTTGAGTAGACACGCCAGCACCTGTGGGGCAGAAAACAACATTCAGTTGTCATTTAACAGACATTAGTCACAAGATGTAGTCAAAAGGTTTTGTTTGTAACAAAAGGCTGTGTTTAAGGGTCGGGATGATATGCCATGTTGTAAGATCAAAACCGAAAAAAGTGACAGACACATCGGCAGATGTCCTTGAGAAGATTCCCCACGTTTCACGACAAACTGACATAGATGCTGTAAATCAGCAGAACGACAGAAAATACAAAATTGTCCTACCAGCATAAACCAGAAATATTTCATCGTAGTCTTCTGTTTAATAGGGCAGTTTACCAGTGCGCTTCTGTTACAGTAGTCGTATCTCGTGGAGACGCAGTTCGTGTAGTGCTCGGCGGAGCTGTTTAAAACCCGGACCATGAAAGGTCTTCCGTGCTGGCGGGTAATACTATAAATGGATTGCAAAATATTCAAACGAAACGTGCGCACCTGCACCAGATGCACCTCCAGCGTTAAGAAGTGTATGGTTTTGCCCAAGAGGTTGAGTTTGAATCAAAATCAACAAAGTTATGAAAAGATAACTGTTGTAAACTACAGAGTGTCTTCATGCGATGTGTTTTCTTTGATATGTCAGATTTCATGTGCCCGTTTGATTGTTATGTGAGTAGGTGCATGTGGGACAGTAGTTTGCGAGAGAGATGTGATGTGGCTTTGCAGTCCATGAAGCAGAGGGCCGATGCAGTAAACTAATAATAACATGTACATGCAAAACACCCAAAACAAATCGCATCACATGTCCACACGACAGGTATGGGTGATCTCCTCTGATAATATAACCACATTCACTGCACCCAGACTATCAACATACATCAGATTTCTGGTCACAGAATTAATAAAATAGCCCACAACTGACCACAAATAAACTCTAAATACCCCGTAAAGGTAAACGTCCAAACCCTGTGCACCATACTGAACCAGAAAACAAATACTTTATCTAATATATTCTCCGCTGTAAGCAGCAACAACAATTTTACTCAAGAATTAAAAAACAAACTTAATTCTAAATAATCTCGGGAGGAGCACCATCACAATTTTATGATCGAAGAAGTGTTTCAAGTCCTACATAACCGAAAAAGGGAACGGATATCGCGAGTCATCTCTTCCTCCCACCAAATGATATAGCAGCGTCTCCAAAAACCTGTAAAAACTTGATCATATCAATTCCAAAGTCAAATAAGCCGACTGATGGGGCATCCTCGTATCGGCCCATGTCCATTACTTCCAGTCAAAGTGAAGTTATGGAGGCCATGGTTTGAAACAGGCTCCAGCACATTGCTGAGGTCAGTGATGTAAACACACAGTATCAGGGTTGGTTGTGGTGGGTTTACCGGTGGATCTGTAATACATATATACAGTGTGATACATTGACAAGGTCAGTGATGTAGACACACAGTATCAGGGTTGGTTGTGGTGGGTTTGCCGGTGGATCTGTAATACATATATACAGTGTGATACATTGACAAGGTCAGTGATGTAGACACACAGTACCAGGGTTGGTTGTGGTGGGTTTGCCGGTGGATCTGTAATACATATATACAGTGTGATACATTGACAAGGTCAGTGATGTAGACACACAGTATCAGGGTTGGTTGTGGTGGGTTTGCCGGTGGATCTGTAATACATATATACAGTGTGATACATTGACAAGGTCAGTGATGTAGACACACAGTACCAGGGTTGGTTGTGGTGGGTTTGCCGGTGGATCTGTAATACATATATACAGTGTGATACATTGACAAGGTCAGTGATGTAGACACACAGTATCAGGGTTGGTTGTGGTGGGTTTGCCGGTGGATCTGTAATACATATATACAGTGTGATACATTGCCGAAGTCAGTCTCTAAAAACCTGTAAAAACTTGATCATATCAATTCCAAAGTCAAATAAGCCGACTGATGGGGCATCCTCGTATCGGCCCATGTCCATTACCTCCAGTCAAAGTGAAGTTATGGAGGCCATGGTTTGAAACAGGCTCCAGCACATTCCTGGACTTTTCAAAGGCGTTCAGTGTGGTTTGGCACAACGGGCTAAATAACAAAAATATGTCTCTCTGGACAAATGATAATTAAAGAATGGCACCCCACTAAGTCCAACCCTTTTTACCATAATGACAGATGATCTCTTTGAGGAATCTCCTCTAAAGTAAAAGTTTGCGGAGAGCTTATATGCTACTCAAGCAACACCCTTCGCTGCCATGTAGGCTCTAACCGTGGGGTCTCCAACACCCTTCGCTGCCATGTAGGTTCTAACTGCGGGGTCTCCAACACCCTTCGCTGCCATGTAGGTTCTAACTGCGGGGTCTCCAAAACCCTTCGCTGCCATGTAGGTTCTAACTGCGGGGTCTCCAAGACCCTTCGCTGCCATGTAGGTTCTAACTGCGGGGTCTCCAACCCCTTCGCTGCCATGTAGGTTCTAACTGCGGGGTCTCCAAGACCCTTCGCTGTCATGTAGGTTCTAACTGCGGGGTCTCCAACACCCTTCGCTGCCATGTAGGTTCTAATTGCGGGTTTCCAACAACCTTCGCTGCCATGTAGGTAACTGCGGGTTCGCTGCCATGTAGGTTCTAACTGCGGGGTCTCCAACACCCTTCGCTGCCATGTAGGTTCTAACTGCGGGGTCTCCAAAACCCTTCGCTGCCATGTAGGTTCTAACTGCGGGGTCTCCAACACCCTTCGCTGCCATGTAGGTTCTAACTGCGGGGTCTCCAAGACCCTTCGCTGCCATGTAGGTTCTAATAGCGGGGTCTCCACGACACTTCGCTGCCATGTAGGTTCTAACTGCGGGGTCTCCACGACCCTTCGCTGCCATGTAGGTTCTAACTGCGGAGTCTCCAAGGAAACCCTGTCATCATTACTTATACGGACCACATTATACTCTTGCTACATTATACTAATCTACAACGCTCTTAGCGAGACACTAAATAATAAACTAAGCTCAGTGCAATACAACGCTACAAAAACAAAACAAACGCAGACACGCGTACAGTTAGGACATTTACTGATCTCATTACAAGCAGTAACGGGCTACATTCCTCCTGAACTAAGATCACAACGGTCAACCACACACTTCATTGCATCAACCCTAACAAACTATCTTGTCAAACTCATAAATACCAACATAAGTACACAAATTGTCCTTGTATTAATCCCACTTGTAATCCAAACATTGCAACGCCCAATGAACTTCACAACTCAATACAAACTAAATAAGCTAAAACAAAACACCAACGCATCCAGTATCTTCACATCTACTCTAGAATCACCAACATAAAACCTCCAAATCTCCTCCAGAATAAATATACAAACTAACCAGAACAGTGCCATGAGAAAACACCACCTTACATACACGAACACTGGTCAAACTGCTGCCACATGTACACAGGTGTCGGCACCCACAGGTTACAACCCACGAGTCATACTACATCATACTGATACCCAGACAACCAATCAACATTCACGGCAGAATTACGGGAATTATAGGCATTGCATATTTAGTTTAGGTAGACATAATGCATGTTATAACATAATTGTGACGTTATACCGAACACTGAGAAAGAGGGTATGTTGGGACGATGTGAAAAAGGAGTTCACTTTGAGCAACGAGTTTGCTTGTCGTGCTTGAAGTTTAGTCACTATACAATTGTATTGATGTAAACAAGATGGTATTCTACAGATGTAAGCAGTGTGATGAAACATCTAGCTACGTTTAAAAAACCGCCCGACCAATTCAGACCGAAAAATGAACAGTGACGTCGACCTTCTAAAGTGGCATGTGCTTGGATCAGGACCGGTTGAAGCATTTATCCGTTTCAAAGCTTATTTCGTTTCACAATTCATCCTTTACAAATAACCTTGCTCAGCCAAGTTGACAAGCCACTTGTTTTCCTGAGTGTAAAGCGATATACTCGCATTGACGTCATTCATGCTGCAAGTTTGTGTTTTGCAATCGTTCATTACTGTCATGTGTGTATCGTGCAGTCATACAGTGTCTGCATGGTTGTTGATAATGGAGTCAATAGGCAAACATATTGCTGGCATGATCTGGGCCGGTCCGGCCTGGCGGTGCGTCATCAGAGTTTTTAACCTCCACACAGCTGTCACGCACTGATGATTCACAATAACATCACTGTAACAGGCTAATTTGCATATCGCGTGATCGGAGTGCACTTGCTTGTGAACCAGCTGACCCAGTGCAAGCTTTCAATGCGCTTTTCAAATTGTTGAACTTCGTTCAGGTATGTTTCTGCAAGTCCAACATTGAGGCGTATGGCAATGCATATTTATTCATCAAAGTGACTGCATCCAAATCTCTGCGTAATGCTTCAATGGCAGCATACGTTGCCGTAGAGCCGATGCAAACTAAGGGATACGATGTGTCTACTCTACAAACATGAAACAGCTGGAAAACATATATAGTACTGAATGGACTCCAAGATGTGACGTATCGTCAAATGGCATCTGTGTGGGGCAGGGTACTATGTTTCTACTCTTGGTATGAGAGTGGTTGTCACCCCCAGGGCCTCAGCGCTGTATACCTGCTACATTAACGTGCTCTATAGTTCTATAGTAGACCCCGGCGGTGACAACATATTACATTGACACTAGTTGTTTGCATAACAAGCCCATGTGAAAAGAGCTAGGTCACATTAACCTCTCGTGTAATGTATATTTGTTTTATAGTTTGCCGATGGCAGAACACCTGATGCGATGTCCTCCATAGTTGCTGTGTACAGTAGCATGTAAGTAAGTACAAGTGTACTACTGAATATAAATAATGTTTCTACGGTGCGACCATGAATACTTTCATATGTCATGTTGCATATTTTCTATAATTACTATACAATAATTTCTATAATTACAATATAGCAATAGGAATATCTTGGGCGGAGTAGGAGAGGCTCTATCTATGTCAGGATGCTGGTGTCAGATCATACTGTTTTGTAACGTTAATTAGTTCAATTAAACTATTTGTTATCTGTCTCTGTGGTCCTATTATCTTATTGCCCTGATTGGCATCTCCTCCTGTATACATCAAAAGGTTGCTCCTCAACCCGAACTGTGACTGTCAAGCAACAGTCATTTATATTTATAAACATAGCTACTTAAGCCTGAATAGAGCTGGGAATATATGATAATTAATGTACTTTTATCTTTATTTCAGTACTGAATCAGGCCACAGGTCTCTAGAACATTAACATACAAACTATACAAGACACAGCATAAACATATAAATATAACTGTACAAGCTCACACAGTTAATCTTTACCATGGCAGAACTTTACCATTTATTTTTTATAACAATAAATAACATTTAGTAAAATTTTGGGTATGTAAAGTAATAGGGTTGCAGATATCTTTCTCTCAGTTGTAAGTAAACGGCACATACAAGCAGAAAATGATACTCATCTTCAACTGAATTTAACTTACAAACATTGCAAATTCTTTGGTCCCGACTAATTTTTATATAGCGTCCCGTTTTAATAAATAGGTCATGGGACGAACATCTAAAACGTGAAAGAGCTGTTCGGAACCTTTTAACAGTAATCTTATAAAGGTAATATTCCTGAATTATTTGTGATTTAAATAGTTTGTAATAAAACACTTATTTGATAAAGCCAGGGAAGCAGTCCATGTCTGTATATACATATCTTTTAGCCTTTGTGTTAATGACAATGCAAAATTTGATTTTGAATACACATTCTGATTTTGCGAAACTTGTTCAAAAACTACTGAAAAGTAACTCTTTCTTTGTCCATTTTTATGGAAGTAACATACCATATTATAACGATTTGTTGGAGTCTGTATGAAAGCATATCAAGAAGTCTCAACCATTATTTGATGACCCTAATATTTGGGTGTAGATAAAGTGGAAACCGACCACAATCGCCATATACCATCAGGCTAGATGTACTTAATTTCACACCTAAGAATTTTTACAGGCATATAAATGAATTCTTTCTATCACATCAAACTGTTGTAAACACCACACTTCTGAACGATATAATAAAATTGGGAGTATTTTAACATCCAATATGTTTAAGAAAGTATTAATATGAAATATTTCCCAACAAACTCAAGTGTTTGAAAATACTTACAAATGCCTCTTTTTTTGCTTGGATTGCTGACTGATTTGAATGTTTCTTCCATAACAGATACCTACTGAAGTAAACACCTAGATATATATATATAATTCAGTAGTTTCTAACATTTCTCCTTTAAAGGACCAGTACTCACTACGTGATAACTAACTGCCCTCAATTCTTAAATACAAGGACTGTGTAAGACACAATACAGCAGGTTTCGGTAATATATTTCTATTTGAATATTTATGGTCATATATGGAATAGTATAGCAAATTCTGTCTAAAACCTAGTTATATTGGCTCCTTTTGCACAGCGTTTATGTCATACTATTGTGAAATGTTTTGTTAGAATATCAAGAGCCCAACGAAGATAAAATGATCTTTTATTGACATAGAATGATGTTACACCACTCCTGGATAGGTATGTAAGTGTAAGAACTCGGTGTTTGTGAAGAAGATATAGAACCTAAAATTTGTGTTGTGCTATTTGTGAGAGTTTGAAGGAGACACGACATGTGCTACAGTTCCTTCTGATGAGAGGAGAATATACAAGACATAGATACACTCCTGACATTGTATGATGAGGGATGGTTTATACAACAACTATGTAGTATGATAGACTGTGATATGACAAACAATGACATTCCCATTAAAAGGTCTACGATATCAGAGTTCTAAGTCCCCAAACCTGATTTAATATTTATGACCTGTACTAATGTTTTGTTAATATTACTTCTGTAAGGGTAATGATTATTTACAATTTGTATGTAAATGGATGACACACAATTTGCGAAACATTAACGTGGGAGGTGTAGGTAACAGCCACCAACCACACAGGCATACGTACTTAGGAATGAAGTATGTGAGAGAGCCCGTCTCTCATCTCAGAAAGCTAACTATGAAAAAAAAGAGACAGAGCAGAAATATTCCACATATGTATATTTGATGTCCCTTTGAATCTACATTGCTTAACTTCACCTGACTTGTGGCCTGGCTCTGTGTACAAGACCACACACCACCACATGAACCACACACCACCACATGAACCACACACCACCACATGAACTACACACCACCACATGAACTACACACCACCACATGAACTACACACCACCACATGAACCACACATCACCACATGAACCACACACCGTCACATGAACTACACACCGTCACATGAACCACACACCACCACATGAACCACACACCACCACATGAACCACACACCACCACATGAACTACACACCGTCACATGAACCACACACCACCACATGAACCACATACC